GATAATCCTAGCAAATCAGCAGAAGAATTGTTAACTGTCACGGTTGTAGCAGCAGCAGGAGGTTCAGTGTGATGATTAGTATTTGGCGCTGGACTCTTGCTTTCTCTAATTTCGTTCTCTGGTACTCGACCCGGTTTCTTCTTCTTTAAAACAGCAAGAATGGAGGATTCCCTTTCGGGGAATGCTGGCATTTCTTCCAATACGGTGGCCTACAAAAACGGATATATCAATGACGAATTTCACATTTTTTAATTGTTACATGTTACATACCAAGACATCAGTTGAAGCAATAATACTCAATTGCAGGTATTCTGATGCTCTTTGTTGCAGCTCAGCATCTGCGCTACGTAAATTACTATGCTGCCTGAAGACATCTTGAATCTGGCTTCGTATTTCGGGGAACAGATTGACAAACTTTATATATGTCGAAAGCAGCAATGCTCGAGTCATAGGAGAGCATAAATGATACTGCAAGAGATATACATATGTAGATGTGTGTATGTATATGTATATATGGATAATAGTACACAATTTTTGAAAATAGAAATCTATGTATTTACTTTGGAATGTAGTAGTTGAAACTGGACAGCTGGAGAAGACCGTTGGTCGCCAGCTATGAGATTACCAAATTCTCCAAGTATATAACCACCGACTTTAACCATATTTTCGTGGCAAGCGGGTGCTTGCAGAGCCTGCAACACATAGCACATATATAGAATGTCGAATAATTTTAACAAAAGGAAAAAATATCTAGAGACATGGCAGTGTCTCGGCGCTAAGCCAAGCGTAGCGACACTGCCGTGCCTCCTTTACGCGAGCCGGCGAGTTGCGGGGGATTGATATATTTTACCTCAAAGACGGTTTTTGCAGCATAACCCTGAACATCATCTCGATTGATAACGATTTGAATAACTCGATACCAAACTTCCTCGGATACGTAATCGCCTGCTATCCTGATCAGATTTAGGATAACATCAACATACCAAGTATAATCGGTCGCATACTTTTCCGCTAGAATCGCTACTTTAAGGACCATTTCTTCTCTAATCGAGTAATCAGCTGTCTCCAAATAATTTAGCATTTCCTGGACGATCTCTTCAGCGTTACTTTTATCACACATGGCATATAATAGGTCTACTGCTTGCTGTCTTACAGAAACGTCCTTTTCCATCTTCATTGATAATATGACTACTTCTTGGTGTTTCTTTACGGCTTCGTGCGAGAATTCCGAAGTAGCCAAGTGGCACATAGATTCGAGTGCCAAGTATCGCAAATTGGTCTCACGGTTCGATAAAAATTGACCAAGCTGGTTGCATGCTCGTACAAGGAGATTCGCTTCGCTATCGTTGTGAATAATTAAACTAATGGCCTCAAAGAGTACAGCATTTTTCGCGTTTGAGTGCTGGACCTTCTTTGACTTGGGTGGTTCTTGAGCTTTGTTTAATATTGTTTCTAAACATTCGTTTAATCTGCCTCTGACACCTGGATCTTCGGCTGCAGAAATATAAAGTCCATATAAACATATCATATAACATATTGTACTTTCATGTACAATACAATGTATTGCGCATTGTGGAATTAAATACCTGGTGGTGTATAGTTCTGCAGCAGACGTAGCAATTTAACAGATAACCATGGAGCTGGTACAAAGTAATACGTATAATCTTGCAGATCTGTATAACTCGACGTAACAATCTACAATCGTAGAAAAAATTTTAGATAACATTCTTATTGTCGTGCGATAAATTTGTACTTCAATAACGTACCCTACTTAATCTCGAAACTGCAAGACTAACGCAACCTTTGTATTCGTCGGGATTTCTTTTTACGAGAGCGTCTATGAGTGATGCTGCGGCTGTTACAACGCCCAGATGTTGGTCGTTCAACAGATGAACTATACGCGATGTCCATTCACCGCCAGGTACGACATCGGGAGCTGTCCGCAATAGTCGTAGTAGACACAATGCAGCACTTTGTTTCACAACGTCCATAGTATCTCTATAGAACAAATATTTGAAAATTCAACGAATATCTGATATAAGCTATCGGCATGGCTATATAAAGCAACAAATACAATATGTCGTACCCTGAGACAAGCAATTTTGGAATTTCATTGCCAAAGGCTTCCGCCATTTCCTTACTACCGATATTGGCGATGCATTGCAGCGCCAAATTAACATGAATTGGATTGCGTGAGGCGAGATCATTTTTTATACTTTGTATGATTAATTTAATCAAATCACTATTAGTGTTCACTAGGACCGATATGAAAAGATATCCCTAGAATTATATGAGTTAGACGTACATTATTATATATATTGCAGATTGCTAGACCAATTGTCTTACTTACAATTTGTTTCTCTGAATATTTATTTGATGAAAGTAGATTGACAGCTTCCATATGTCCAAAGTCGATATCATGGCCAAGAAGGAAAATGAATAACAGCTTGCAAACATATTTCTTTTTCTGGTATCCATCGAGTGTTTTGTCTCCTTTAAACTTGCTGCGTATGTTTGCTAGTTCCTTGTTAATTCTCTTAATTTCTGCCTCTTTACTTTTGCCTAGTAACATTAGTACATTTTGAAAAAGAAAAGACAGCCCAAGTGTGTATGTATCATCCTTAACACAAAGATATCTTATATAATACAATAATAAGATACGTTTGTGACAAGAAAATAAAATATGTATAGAATAAAAATTTTCTGTTGTAATATCCTCATATATATTTTGGTTAAAAATATCCAAGAATTTTTATTGTAAATATCGATCAAAAATAATACATCAGCAAAAATACTGGATATAATGACAAATAATGACAACTACCAATTGGCTTATCAAGAACAATCTTTTTAGCTCAGAAACAGATAGTTATATAAATAAATAATATGCATAAATATGTATAAAACTATACATTTGTGCCTTCTATAAATATCTTAAGAAGACCAGCGTTCATTTTTAATAAACGTTTAGCTAATGTGTCGTAGATTGATATTGAGAGTCAAGCTATATCACAAGAAGATAGGCCTATATCAGAACCGCCCCCTTTCTCCTGCTCCTCACAATGTTAAACACGTCACATACAATTTCAGTTTCAATGGCACTCGAGGAATGAAATGTCATTAATAGCATCAAATATATAAGATCAGCGGTATTTGAAGGAAGAATAGCAACAATTTATAACAATTGGGAATGGTTTACAATGCCGACAATCGCATTATATAATCCAGTAATTAAATGTGAAGTGTGAATATTATTGATGAAAAAACATAGAATACTATCACACAACATTACTTACAATTCCTGATGTCCGATATGAATACCGCCAATCCACGCATACCATCTCCTCTGACGGCCGGCATCTTGCCTCGTTCTGCTCAAGACTACCTGTGAATGAGAGCTATGTGAGGACACTCGGACGTTCATTCCCCTCCAATCTGAGACGCTTAAAGATCGCGCTCCGACGCAGATATACTGTAATTGGTATTTGTTTCGCTCACTGAAAACGACGTGACGCAACGACGGGACGGCCGCGATCGCTCCTATCGCCGCGCGCTCTTATACGTGCCGTCTTTTACAATCGCAAAACTAATTTCTCCTTCTTCTTCTTCTCTCTCTTTCTCTCTCTCTCTCTCTCTTTCTCTCTTTCTCTCTCTCCGAGCGTGCTAATCGGGGAAACGGAGTATCGTATGTATGTGGCGCCGAGCGGAGCTCCGGAGTATAAAATTTAGCCGTCGGAGCCGCTCGAAAGAGACGCGATTGAAATCGTGTTCACCGATTATCAATTCGTCGAGTGATTGGAGCCGGTGACGCTCTGCACCACGAATTCCGACGGTGATTCTTGACAGCGATGCGGCACCCGGAGATCCGTCCCGGCTAGCGAGGGGAAGAGATAGGGAGGGGGGAGAGACACGTACGCGACCGTCGGAATCGACGGCGGACGGATCCGGGAAGGCCGACGATCGCACGACGTATCGATCGAGGAACGGGAGAAGAATCTCGGAGAGAGAAGAGACGGTACGAGGACGATACCTTCTTCGAGCGAGAGCTGTCGTGCGCGCGGAGGGTCTGCCGGGATTCCAAGGGCCCCGCGAGTCCACCACCTCGCCGGGGAGGGGGGTCGCGACGTCGCCGGGTTCACTTAGGCTACGTACCGATCTCTGGGCGCTGGGGCTGCGTTCGGCGCACGGCTCGCTCGCGGGGCGCACGGTAGGCGTGGAACTAGTCGCGAGCCCGTGCCAGAGACTTCGTGGCTGTCGCCATTTGCAACCGTCGACTAGCCCGTGTCGTCCGACGAGCGACGGCCGACCGTCAAAATGCCAGCGCGCACGCGCGATCCGCGCTGGCGCGTGGAATTTCGTATTTCGAACCGCCGCTCGGCTCTCGCCGTCGCCGCGGCGGTCATCCGCGATTGATCGTCGCGAAAGGGCACGCCGGTTCAAGCCCACGGATTCTTCGCTCCGTCCGTGGCCTGTGTCGAGATCGAATGCAAAAGGTTACCGCGATCGAACGCGAAGGGTCGCCGCATCGATAGGAATAGTCGAGCGATTTGATCAAATCGTGGACTGATATTTATAGTTGATTCTTATTTTAAGACCGTCTTAAGCGATGTCTTAAGACGCTGCTACAGCTCTCTTATTATAACATCTTAAGACTGTACTTGAGACAGTCTCATGGACTTTTTATGATAAGCTATTACCTAATCTTTAAATCTTAAATAATAAGAAATTGACCAATTATAGTCGATTATTTTTCTCATATTTGATCGACTGGTCAATTTCTTACGACTTAAAACTTAATAGCTTATTGTAGGAGGCCCATAAGAATCGATTATGAATTAAATGGATGTTTTTTCGCTTTAGGTATATTTAATTCAGAATTGCAACTTATTTTGTAAAATTATTATGTTGATCGGCAAATGATGTTATTTTGAGAGAATTAAGTAAAGCAAGAAATTAAATAATTTTTTAATAATTCTATTTATTTTACTTTATCTATTCCTATTTATTCCGTTATAATTTAACGAGTAACTGCACACGAAATTGTCACTCCAGTTTACAAATAATACAGTTATATAAAAGATAATAGTACAGATATATAATATGGAAACAATCTCGTGTGACAAAAACTCAATGAAATTTAAAGATTATGTGTCACTGTTGGAACATCCTATACATATTACATTGTGTAATATACAATATACATTATATACAAAAATGAAAACATTTTACTGTTTCTCTAATACTCCATTGCGCAACAATGTGATTAAGAGTACAGTCAACATGATGCTACAAATGTTTTGAAACAATCTTTATGATTGGTCAATTAGTGAAATTCTTTCTTCTGGTTGGTCAATCAAAAGCTTCAAAGAATTTATAGTGAGACTTTGACCATATCCTGGATCAGTCTAATCGAAGATAAAGAGACGATTGTACATTACGTCATTTGCTGTATTTTTTCCAGCAACATTTCTATTCTGCCCTTCATGACAGGCTGTCCCTTCTTCGTCTTCTTCGATAACACCTTGAAATTTTGCAATTTCTTCTCCCTATACTTCCTCAAGGCTTCCTCTCGTTCTTCCTTTATACGAATGGTGTTCTCTAGTCTGTTCTTCTTTTCTTCCTGCTTTCGCTGATATTCCCGCTTAGTTTTGAAGAAAATGTTGCTCTTCTTCAATTTGCTGTTTACATACGTGAATAAATTGATTAATATTAGATTTCAAGTTATAAATTCTGAATATAGGTTCCAAGTACTTTACGTACCTAGTCTCATTTGCATTTTTGGATGTATTACTTAAATTTGACGACGTTCCTGCGGAATTCTGCTGATCCTTCTTAAGCTCTTTATAATATTCGCGTAACACTGCCTTCTTCCTCCTCTCTTCCCATTGATTAACTAATACAAGGAAGCAAATTTTAAATAAACAATAAACTTAACCTATTCGTGGCGTACATTGTATACATACTTTTATATTTGTTGCTGTATTTCTGTAATCTATACTTCTTTTTGTCAAACTTCTTCTCCCGATGCTTATCCTCAATGTCGTCTTTATCAGTTCGGCCTTTATCTTTCACATTCCTCGCATTGTTCCTCATGATCGTTAGTTGACGTGCACACGTAACGTAACGATGTAACGTGTTTCTCAATCTTTGGTGGACAATTTCAGTTTTCAGAAAAATCAGCTGTACGCTAACGCCTCTCGCGGCAAACATCGTAACTGGAATAAAAAGCAATCAAAACGGATGGTAAAAAGATTTGAAAAAAAAAAGACGAAAATATCAAGTTTTATTTGAAACTTTTTATCGTCAAATGTGTTCTAAAAAGAACGTGTTCGTAACTTTAAGATATGCATTTTAAACATGATTTAACGCAACATATTATTATATGCGCAAACACGAAGAGTAAACAAATTATATTATTACATAAATAAAAAATATTTAGAACACGTTATATTAAAAAATTATAAAATATATAAAAATATATATATATTATAAATGTACGTCTCAAATACAATACGGAGTATATAAATTATGTATTCTAATATATGCATGGAAAAAAAAGATATAGTTCACATAACTAAAAATATTTAGTTGTGAACAATATAGAAACATCATCCTAGTTATTTTTATGTGACAGGAATGTGTATGGTTGATACGATTTATTTACTTTGATGTGTCGATCAATGTAGTATATATCAATGTAGTTAGGCGCGATCTGACCAAAACTTGATTGGGGGATCATTTCTCTAATAGCACAGATCTCCAAGGGACGTTCCAAAAAATATTTAGAGGATATCCTAAGAACATTCGGCAGAACGTTCCTCGAATAAAGTATGCTATTAGGGTTACTACGGATAAGTTATGTATCCGTATAGCTGCATCAATCGTTATAAAGTATGATGTAATAAGAATTAATTATTAATAATTAATTTCTTGTTACATCATGCTATAAATTAAGTTACAATTTCAAAAAGCAAAAGCGACTCACCACGCTTACAATTAAAAATATATATGTATATGTGAAATGCCGTCATTGCTGCAACATAACCTAACCTAACCATTGTACTATGGTTCAAACAATCACATAAATAGTTGCTCCATATTTTACTATTTAATCTGGTTGGCATCACCAGATTTCTATGTAGACCAACCATATTGTTTTTTCCGTGTGTGTATTCGAAATAATCGCGCAATTTTTTCAGATATTTTTCATTTATTAATACATATATACTTATCCAGCCATTACAAAAGAAAAAATGTTAAATTATATATTGCAGAAATGAATGACGATAGTGACTTCGTGGGGGAATTTGTGTACTGAAAAAAAAGATTGGCTGCTGCATCAAATTAAATGGTAAAATATGGCATAGCATTTTTAATTGATTGCAGCAATCAATTCTTGATTGTATTAGTCTATCGAAATTCTGTACTGACATTGCGGATGGACTAGCGCAACCAAAAATTGGCTGCTGCAGCCAATTAAAAATACTATGCCATATTTTACCATCTAATTTGCTGCAGCAGCCAATCTTTTTTTTTCAGTGTGAGGATTACTTAATGCGAGGAGAGCGCTTACAATTCTTTATTCGCGATTACCTGTCACCGCGTTACGTGTGAGTTTATTCATGGCAGTGACATTGGATAATTGACCATGTTAATTTATAGACTTGATGATCGATCAACGTTAGATCGGAAGCTGCAAAATGGCAACACGATCGCTATGCGCGTGTCGTCCAACAATTCGTTTTATTAACGATAAGGTTGTCTTACATAATTTCTGCTAACATATTGCATTCACGTCCTTGCAAAGAGGCCTGCCTTAAAAAGAATGGAATTCATGCACGAAAAAAATTTTGCTGAAATATATATAAAAATTTAGGTAGATATATACTTTTTAAATTCTTTGGGGTGAAATCTCATTCTGAAGAGTAAAAATTCGTAAAAAAGAATGAATCGATTTTCAATCTTTAAGCGTGAAGTGCGGAGCACAGATTTTTGCATGATGCAAAAAGCGTAAGAAAATCAATCAATCAGTCTTTTATTTTATGGAAAGTAAGGAAATGAAGGACTTTGATTGGTTGATTTTCTTATAGGCTTTCTACAATAAGCCATTATCTAAGTTTATGTCTTATAAAGCCGTAAGAAATTAACCGGAAATTAACCAATCACAGTCGAATGTGAGAATAATCGATAATTGGTCAATTTCTTATGGCTTGAGACATAAAGCTTAGGTAATAGCTTATTGTAGAAAGCTCATTATGCATTTATGCCTTATGCATTCGTTATGCACGACTGTGACCCCACCCTGAGATTTCACTCTAAACTCGGTCTTCGGAGTGAGATTCACTCTAAAAGAATACATCTGAAAATAATTTTGTTAGATCATGAAAATAATTCTGTAAAAAATTCAAGCATGATGACTAATACCGCAAAAAGTTTTGACATTCTAACAACCAAGAGTTGAGAGTTCTACATAATTATTTTAATAGTTCAACAAAATTATCTTCAGATCATCAGAGATCTGTATTTAAAAATTTAGCAAAATATATCTAGCTATAAATTTTTAAATATACTTCAGCAAAATCGTACTTTTCGTATATTCTTAATTGGTTGATGTTTTAACAAAAATTTTCAATAGTTCGCGATATTCGCCTCGTTTGGGTTTCTTCATTATGCGTCCTGTGTTTCCCGACGTCGTGCGTATGCGAGAGATTGGACAATTATTCATAGCTCGGTACGTAGACGAGGAAAACAAGCAAACTGACGTCGCCGAAAAGATAGTAGCTCAACGGTATGCGCTCTACCGGGCTATTATTAGCTGACAAAATCCGAGACGGGCATAGAATCCGAAGCCAGATTCGTTCGAAGGCATTCGCCGACCGTTCGATTTCTTCGACCGTCGATCACCCCTTCGTGATTCAATGTCGAGGATACGACAACGAATTGATCGGTCACTCGTAACATTTTCGTCCTTTATGCAAAAATGTGAACCAAAATAGGATGCACACATCGCGACTGCGAATGCATTCCGTTTCACATATAACACGTATAATGATATCATTTTTTTCCTTGTTGTTTACCGAACATCGAAGAAGAATAAAACAATACATTATTACTTATCATTACTCATCTCTTTACAAAAAATTAAATCAATGCACTGAAAAAAAAAAAGATTAGCTGCTGCAGTAAATTAGATGGTAAATATGGCATTTTTAATGGGTTGCAGCAGCTAATTTTTTATTGTTAGCCTATCGAAATCCTACACCTCTCCCCCCCCCCAAAGAAAGGTTTCTTCAATTCAAAGAAATGTTTTTTTGCTATATGGTTAAAGAAAAAATTTCTTTTATTTGAACGTCATTTCTTTGATTTAAACATAATTTCTTTAAATCAAATAAATTTTTTTATTTGATTTCAAAAAATAATGTTTAAATCAAAGAAATTTTTTCTTTAACCGTATAACAAAAAAACATTTCTTTGAATTGAAGAAACTTTTCTCTTAGTGTATACACTGAAAAAAATTTTGTTTATTTTTGGTCCAATAAATGATCGTTAATCAATGTCCGACTTAATGTTCAACTTAATGTTCGACTTAATGTAGTTAATTCATTAATACAATAACTGGATTCATTAATACAACTATATATTCATTCTTGCAATGAATTCTAGTAAGTTTTATAATCTAAATCATTATGAGAATTGGACCAATTTTCATTATTTTTTCATAATTCAATAAATATTTTATTGTATTTACGTACAGTTTTGGTTCAGTGTACTAACATTGCATATGAATAGACTAACGCAACAAAAAATTGGCTGCTGCAACCAATTAAAAATGCTATGCTATATTCAGCCAATCTTTTCTTTCAGTGTACGTTGAATTCGTTATTAATTAAAACAATGACATCATTAACGGTAAGACGTCTTAAAGACATATCATGACGTTCTCCGTATCGGAATCTTGCGCAATTATGGAAAAGATCGATCGAGAAAGTTATTATGCACGGCAGTCTTATCTTCGATCCATATTAGGAACCGCTCATCGGCGTAATTCCCATGGAGGTGACGTCACACCAGTCAGGTTTCCTTTCCCCCTCACATCGATGGTGACTGTCTGGTTTCGTCGACGTTTCAGAAATAAGAGAGGAAGTCCGTCGTCCCGTAAAGAATCTCACCTGGAGATACAAGAGCGACGACATTGACACACTTTAGCATCAACCTCGATGATCTCGTTAGTCGTGATCAGCATCCTTTATTCCTCTCTTTTATTACTGGATACGTGTGATACTCAAAGAAACCCTTACTGAGTCCTTGTGTGGGCTCGTGACGAAAATCGTCTTCTCGAGAGAAACGTGTTTAAAAGTTTAGCAACGTTGTTTCGAATTTCTAGGAAATAGACATAAAATGGAAATAGACATAAAAATCAGAAATGATTGATAGATGACTTTTAATGATCATTTTGGAGTCATTTTGACATCATTTTGATATCATAATGACTTGTTGTTCTACTTGGGAAGCTACATTTCTTCGAAGAACGCCATTGGCCGCATATGCTTTGTAATATAATATTTTGTGTAATATATTTGTATGTGTATAATATATTTATTAATAAACAATAAATAAATAACATGGTCAATATTAAAAACGGAGAAATTGAGGGCATCTACCACAAACGCTTGTTGTTTTTCAGCGAAATTCGTCTTAAAATAAATACATAAAGAATTACAATTAATAGAAATATAAATGTTTCGGCCTTAGATTAGACCATCCTCAGTATATAAAATTAAAAATGTAAATATAAAATTCACAACATAAATCTAAGTTATTTCTTTTAACATGACTACAATTTACATAAGTGCGCTCGTTGAATTTATTTTATAAGCTTTCTATAATTTGTTACATATTTTAGAATGTGTCC